CCTGCGGTGGTGGAATATTGTTACTCCTTTCTACATCTGGATGGGATGCTAGTTGATCGCAGGGTTTCTCTCCTCCCCAGCATAAAATTCATCGGTACAGACCATTTCACTACTCCTGGGTGGAGGGTAGCTGGAGGTTTTGCACCCAGGCGAGCTCGGACTCATTGAAGGTGAAGGCGAACTTGAAATAGAAAGTATATTATGAGATCAGGGGAGCGAACTCGACTGGAGGCGAAACAGGTACCGGTAACATTCAGGGGAGGAAAAGAGGCACTGGGAGCGTAAAATGTCTTGCCCGCGAACACAACTACAGGTTAGAGCCCGGATCACTCAATCCGGATACCATGGATACCATATCGCAGCGCAGCAGGCAGGCTAACGGCGAAAAAAATTCCGAAAAAAACTGGTAATGAGTATTTTCGTTACCTGCTGCCCACATAAATCGCGGTCTCAGGATCCGTTTCAACTTGACAAAGTGGCGGGTATGGCGGGCGAGTTACCTGCAAATACACCGTTGTCGTTTGATTTTCCCGACGCCAGGGTCGATGATGATCTCTCTCTAAGAATGAGAATCCCACAGAAGATCACCATACCGGGAGATGACGAAGAATCTCACTCTAATGTCAAGACAAACCCGGGCGATATGGCCATTCCTGACAGAATCGAAATTGGCACATCTTCGCCAAAAAACAGCAACATTCCAAGAGACTTACGGGATGAAGTGGTGGCTGTGAATTCCTTGAGTAGCATGATAACTCCACCTCGAACTTTGACTGTCGATGACACCAAGTCGGCTTATTATCCTCAAACGAGAGCAAGTCCGAGTTCGCCCTCTGCAGCTGCTGGTCGTGGCAATCATGATCGGAGGGCCAACATTGCTAGAGACATCGCCGATGAAAGGTAAGCTTATGTTTAAAGGACAGAATTTAGGACCTTTTAGTCATATGTCGTTGACTAGTGTTCTGGTTTTGATTTTTAAAACTATTTGATGACTTAATTTTTGGATAACAAAACAAATAATAATAGTCTTCATAAGTTCATCTGCATGTAATATTTGACTTGATCAAATTTCTTCGCGATCATTGGTTATTGGTTAATGGTAAGTTAATTAAGTGTTAAAAAAAATCTTGGTTTCAGGACATTTGCTTCAGGCATAGTCAATCGGTAAACCAATAATCAATAACAATCAATATCAATTGGAGATTGATATTGATTGCCAATAGCAGTTGATCAAAATCTACATGTACATGTATGAAGAGAAGAAGTTGTGAAATCAATTGTTATCGATTGCCAATAGTAATCGATGACGATTGATTAATTGATTGGTATCAATTGTCATTAGAATTAATTTTGTCCTTTTGGAAGTTACACTGATAAAATAATTGACAAAATTTGTCAGGAATGGTTTTATTGAGTCAAGTTATCTTCTTAGGCGGCATATCTTTTACAATTATCAACAACATAATAAGAACAGGAAAAACTAAAAGAAATATTTTGCGCTTTACGTCTTTCTTTGTTAGTTTACAACACCAGAAGAAGCTCAGGCCAGAGTGGCAGTGTAAAACCCTCCAGTCTCATTGTAGCATTGACATTTAAATGTCATGACTATTATTGTTTTCCCATAAAACAAAAATTGGAAAAGCCAAGTAAATTGGTCAAGCTAAAGATAGAATTTAGCCTTGGTTACAAGCCAGTTTCATAGGCATTTCGTCTGCCAGTGAGGGTTGCTAATGAACTATATCTACGCTCCTTTCAGTACAAAGTGTTGAATTCTGTTCTCTATACTAATGACTGTCTTTGTAAAATAGGATACGTTTTTAATCCAAACTGCACTTTCTGTCATCAGCTGCATGTAACAGAAACCGTATCCCGTATTTTGTTTGGTTGTTCTTTTTCAAATTCTTTTTGGCATGAGGTTAATGAAACAACTTTGAGTAAAATCAAGAGTTGCAGAAGCCTCTCGCTTAGATATTGCAATGTTATTGTTGGGTCTTTTGAGGAGGAGATGGATCTACGGTGTATTTATTATAATTATGTCATAATTTTTTTTTGAAAATCTTTCTTGTGGACTTGTCAATGTAGAGAAACGTTACCTTCCTTGAGCCACTTTATAAGAATTTTGGTAAGTAAATATGAAACTAAAAATCACATATATTTCAAATCGAATAAGACAAATTTGTGTAAAGAAAAATGGAAGATTTTTGATGAAACAATTNTGGGTGGAGACAGGCACTGTGAGAGTTAAGTGTCTTGTAAAAGAACACAACACCGTGTCCCTGGCCAGGGCTCCATGTGATTTTGTTCTCGTCTAAAAATGAAACATTTCCATTCAATGTTCAATATTATATTTGCCTTGGTTACTTAACAGGACTATTGCTATCAAAATATCATGGCTAAATGCTTGTTACATGTAGGCTCAATTCAATTTTTGTCATGTTTTCATATAAATCTGTCTTCACATTCACATTCTTTGTTGCTTCTATACAAATGTGGAATCAGTGATGTTGCCTCTGGGTGGCCTGGGAAGGAAGGTACTGGAGTTTAAAAAAACTGTGAGGCTTGTAAGGTAGTGCTGTGGGTAAATTTTTGTTGGGTGGCATTGTTTTGAAGGACTGTTAGTTACTTGTAAAGGCCATGGCTAGAAGCAAGGATGATACACATGTATGACAGTACTTTGGAGCATCGTAGATTGTTACTAGTATACATCAATATATCCACTTTTATTACCTCCTCGTCACTTTCCTCTTTGAGTAAAATGATACATGTCCATGCAATGCCAAGTTACACCTACAATTTACATGCACACAAATGGTGCAGTGAAGTATGTCCACTAGCGCAGGTGGCTTAGCACTATTGCTAGTTTCCTTGGATGGCATCCTCCTACATTGTATTGCTACATGAAGTGCGTCACAGGCTACCCGTAATCAGTACCCATGTATACACCTTTATACACAGGCTCTATGAGAGTTACAGTCAACCCAAGTGAAGTGTACTCCTCAAGAGTACATGTACATTAATGAACTGATTATTTGAATATTGAACCAGGTAATCATTTCAAGAGTGCGATAATGAATTGATTATTTTTTTAATGAATAATGAACCTGCCAGTCTTTCAAGAATACGGCCAACAGATACATGTATTCAAATAATCAATTTTTAAAAGTAATCTTGATGGGTACACTTCACCTGGTTTGACCGATGTTGTAGTTTTCACTAGGTCATGAGCGTCCTGCTGGGGTCATTTAAGCAGAATTGTTGTCAGCTTCTAATTCCGTCAGTTTGATTTTCACTATATGATATCTCTCTGTTCTTCTGATTACAACTCTGACTTCAACTCCGTCAGTAATGAAAACCAGCCTTTTGTGCTATCACATTTTTCACATTTTTTTCTCCTGTTTTCTTTTGGTAGCATTGCTGTTGGTCTTGAAGTCATAGAAGAAGGTGCACCCTTAGATAGTGACAATGATGTTGGACATTACATGGGAAATGATGTGTCTGACATACGGAAGTTCATCCTTCAGATACAGCAACTGAATCGCCGTGTTAGGGACCTTGAGAGGAATGTGGACACGAATACAGTTGGATTTTGGTCTAAAGTAGCTTTCTTTGCTTTTACAATCATCAATCCTATACTACTCCACTGGCTGTTCTGGAAAAGAAGATGAAAAAGATCAAGTGTGCTGTTGTTTAAGTGAAAGAAGAACTCGTTAAAAGGAAAAGCTATGATATGGCATTGTTTGTTCCTATGAGGTTATGAAAGCGAACTGTTCTTGATAGTGAAGTTTTAGTAGTTAAATTTGTATAGAACTGTATGTTTTGCACTACACATACATGTATACAAAAATGTAAACAAATAACCCAGCAGGGCATCAAATATTATTTCTTTTTCTTTTGAAAAAAAAACTAAGGAAACTTAGTTCTGTTGCTCCATTCAGAGATGACAGAAATTTGTGTTCTTGATTGGTGAAACTTTAGTGACTTGTATATAAAGTTGGGATGGTAAAATAATAAGTAAAAGGCAGAACACTGTAAATGCATTTCTCTCAAGATGTAGTGAGTACTGAAAATGCAAATTGACTCCAGTTTTTTGAGATCCTTGTCTTCATCATGCAATCAAAGATGATTACTAATAGTTACAATAACAAATCAGTCTGAGATTTCTCAAAAGTATTTGTATAAAGCAGTAAAGTTGTGGACTGTAGCATGGGGTAATGAAATGAAATAATTGCTTGATATTTGTCTTTTCCTTGCCTATCACACCATTTTTCTATCTAAAGTGTAGAGAATGATACTTAAGATTTTGAAGAACACCCGTCTTTAGAAAGAACAGTGAAACCTGTATTTAGCGAACACCCTTGGGACACTCACTAGTGTCTGCTTAATACAGGGTGTCTGCTCTAAACAGGTTCTAATATATTGTGCAGTGATAGTTAATTATTAACCTGTTTATAACACAGTGCAGCACAGTGTGAGATCAAATCTACTGCTCATAGCACAATGCCCAGTCATTCAATGCATCAATCTGGACTAATCTACTTAGCTTTAAAACAACATCACTGAACAATGTTAAAGGAGTCTGAGCTGAGCTTTTAGAACTAAAAAGCCCTTGGGTGTCTGCTTATTGCAGGTTTTGGGCAACAAAATGGCTTAATATTGGTGTTTGAGTCTGCTTAAGGAGTTGTCTGCTGAACGCAGGTTTATTTGACAGTAAATGTGGGAAAAATAATTCGGACTCAAGCTGGTGTCCAGTTAATAGAGGGTGTCCACTTAATAAGGGGTCCGCTTGATACAGGTTTCACTGTAAAATCATTATTACTGTAGCTAGCCCTTGTAGCAGGCATAAAATGGAGGAGATGGGGACAGGAGAGCAGGGGGGAGGGGTGTGATGGAAGGTGGGAGAGTGGGAGTGGTTACACCAAAATGCAGTCTATGCAGACTGCAGAATGAGAATATTTTTTTAACCTGAGTTTTCATATTTAATTTTCACTCACATTTTTACAGCTTTAAGTACAAAATAGTGTTTGATATATCAGATTACCTCTTTAAAACCTACATAATTATTGTTAGAAGGTTGAAAATTTTACCCTGGACACCATCAAAACATTTTCACCCATATTAAATAAATTTTGAGTTCTGCATTTGACTGTATGACAGCTTCAAATGCCTATCTAAGGGTTAATAGTATTATTTTTCTTTTAAGGAAAAAGATGATAACATTTGGAATCATTAATGCAACAGATCCACTTATACAAAATATGGAGAGGCAGCTCATTCCATTTTTAAAGTTTTCAACTTAAAGCCCTGGAACCCATAGGGAGACTCACCATGGGGAGTTTCTTTCAATGATATTGTTCTTTCAAAATCACCATTATTTCTCCCCCTCATTCTTTCGCATCACGCTTGACAAGCTAAAAAAAAGAGAGGGGTGGGGAGGGGGCTCATAGTCTAGGTGGGGCCTCCCTATGTACTCCATCACAGTAAGATCCAGCAGCTTGCTGCAGACGAGGCTCTTGGTAGGAAAAAAATTTGGACTGTAGTGTGTATTGGGGATTAGGGAACTTACTTTTAAAGCTGTGTAAACTGCACAATATACAACTGATTGGCTGTGTTCTTTAAGGCATGGGATATATTTGATTTATGTATATTTAAAGCAATATTATTCCATGAGCATGTGTTGGATATATAAACAATAGCCTCCATTTGGCACGAAAATATGCTTGGATATTTGTCCATGGACATTTTCTGTTCTGAGAAGCGAACAGTTTTCCGAGAGCGTAGCTCAAGGAAAACTGTGAGCTTCGAGGAACAGACAGTGTGCAAGGACAAATATGCGAGCATATTTTCAAAGTCAAATGGAGGCTATTGTGTTTATTATCCTTCATACATTTTTCGCAACGCATGCAGTTTTGAAAATTGGGGAATATTCTTGGACATTCCCCAGTTTCAACTGGGGAATATTTGGTCACATGACGCTTTTAGACCAGTTGTATGTGATAGACAGCCAACGAGGCACCTATAATCATCATTTCCAACAAGTGCGAGTGAAATGTTATATCTAAAAACACACCAAAACTATAGAAAATTATTTTGCATTTGCATACCATATTTGTAGAGCATAGTATAATTGCTCTTATTGTCCAAGTAACTGAGTATACCCCTGCTAAAACTGGGGAATATCCAAGTGAAACTCCCCGATTTTCAGATATTGTGTGTTGCAAATAATTAACATAATAGCCTCTAATTAACTTCAAACATTCGCTCAGAAAGGGACGTAGCTAGGCACCGGCTTCAGAATTTCTGTAAATATTTTTTTTAGTAGCCAAAAGGCCATATTTTCTTCTTCTTACTATTCAATAGCGAATCACTGCTATATCAATGTTCTATTTTGAGAAACAGAATAATGACTTTCAATCTTATGCATAAAAAAATGCTGAAAGGTTATTAACAAAGCAGGCCTTTGAAATAGTTTTGCAGACAAAAATTAGTTGACTGTTTTTTTGGGGGGGGAGGGGGGGTGGGGGACGTGAGCAAAATTTGATATACAACTTATGCTATACAATTTGGGCTTAAATGGCAAAAATGGCTGGCTACGCCCCTGTTAGATATTTGTCCCTGGACATCTGCTCCTTGAAGCTCACAGTTTTACTTGAGCTTTGCTCTCGGAAAACTGTCCATTTCTCAGATGTCTGGAAAAATATCTGAGCATATTTTCGCAGCAAATGGAGGCTATTGTTTATAAATTTATGAAATATACCATGGTGGCCATTAGCCAATGAAAACTCTTCCAGTTTATAAGAAGTAGAACTGATATATAATTATGAATCATGCTGACCAGAAATATAATTTACAAACACTAGATCTGTTCTGCCAGCAAGGTTTGTGTAATTTATACGAAGCAGCAACAGCAGCAACAGGCGTTATAACAGCACTTAGCAGGAATATTACCAGAGTGCTTTGCTTTAAACACCATAATAGAAAATGCTTTCTTGAAAATGGAGGCAATCTTATAGCAAGGTCCCATTCCGGAGATGTAGTCTGATGCTAATGCCCAGAGTCTGTTCCCGTCAAAAGAGGCATAGTGACCCGGGAAGACGTAATCCACTTGGCTGGAAAGATCTTGAAGCCTTCTGCAGGTCTGTACATACGAGGGGATATCGCTGTAAGGTAACCAGTCGAGGAGAGGGCCTCCGTACATGGTATCACCGGTGAATAAAATCCTCGCTCGTTCATCGATCAATCCAACACTTCCACGAGAGTGGCCCGGAAAATGTAGCACGCGCAATTTTCGGTCTCCAAGATCAAATACATCGCCTTCCTCTAAGAGTTTACTAGGCTCGGCTGATTTCACTTTGTAGTCGTAAATGCTCCATCCGTCGTAAGGGGGCACGGAGATCTCTGATTTACTGATGAAAATCGTGACAGTTTCGTAATTGTCTCCTTGGCGAATAGCGTTCGCCTCAAGGCTGTGAATGGCAAAGTTCTCAAACTGATGCAATCCTCCAGAATGGTCAAAATGGATGTGAGTGGCGACTGCTGTTACAAGTTTGTCTCCGATCAGGCCTTGTTGTTTGAGAAAGCCTGGCAGATCCCATAGACCGATTCCCGTGTCGATCACTAAATCAGCGGTCGAGCCCTGAACCAGCCAAATGTTGGCTTGATTCATCGACTCGAAGAACTTCTCCCGACACCTGTACACACTGTCGTGAACTTTTTTAACGCTGAAAGGTTGTTCAGCCATCGTTTTCTCGCTCTTCAGCGTCGCTTTTAGTTACATAGCCCATGATACATGATCAGAATGCTGTCCGAAAAAGTTTGCGTGAAATTTTGTAAACAAACAAATGTGAGTACAACGTGACCTAACATTCCGGGGGGGTACAGAAAAAGAGAGCCGGGATTGGGCAGTGNGGGGGGGGGTACAGAAAAAGAGAGCCGGGATTGGGCAGTGTGCTAAAATATTACACAATTATTCCATAAGTCTACGTTGTACAAGCAACAATATGAACCGCGTATATGGCGCGTAGGGCTGAGTTTGTTGTCTGAGATGACTAGCCCTCCGTAAATAATGTGGACATTTCAGTGTCTTTTACATGATTGAAAGGTGTGAGAACGCGGCAAAATTTGGCGCGCTGTGGAGTCCACGCGTTGATCAACTTTGGGTTGGATAGAACCTTCTTGAGGGCGTGCGTTTTCTTCCTAAATATTCCTGCAATCTGCTTTGAAAATTAACGTCTGGTATGTTCTGGAAGATCAAGACAGACGATAATGTCTACGGGAAGATCCAAAGTAAGAGCGTTATTGAGAATGAATCATGCCTTCAGTGCAAGTCAAAATTAATGAGGCAAGATTTGAGCTTACATCATGGTTGTCATCGTCAATACTAGTGTTGAAGCTCAGAATCGATCAGTTTATTGAAGTATAAAAGGAAAATCCCCAAATATAAGGTAAGCTTGTTAATGTTATGTCGATAATCCGATGTGATGTTCTGTGCAGCGGCAGATCCAGGGTTTTTCTTAGGGTTGAGGGTGTACCACTAAGGAAAAGTTTTTTTTTTTTTTTTTTTTTTTNTCATCTACGAGGTACAACTGAAGAACTCGATACTCGACGTTAATGTGCCTTCGCCAAGACAATTCGGCGAAGACTCCGTATCTTATCCTTGCATTGTTAAAGTCAACATGAGCTCGGATGGTATGGGCAACCGTCTCGTCAAGAATGAGGGCGAATTGTTCGCCACTTTGCGTCAAATCAGAGATGTGTGCAACTGGAAAGGAGAGATTGTGTTTCAAGAATTCATCCCTGGAGTCAAAGAAGTGCCCAGCTTCCAATTTTATCTGCACAAATCGGGAGAATTATTCTGGGTCGGCACAACCACAGGAGGATTCGATGGAATTTTTGAGTGGACTTCTGGAACAGTGGACTGGGACAAACAAGAGAGCTATGAGGAAATGGTGCACGAAGAGTTCACTTTGCCGATTAAAAAATACCTACATGAGAGAGGCTACTTTGGCTTGGCCACTTTTGAAGTTCTTATCACAGACCATGGAAGGTACCTGGTTGACCTAAATCCACGGATTAGCGGCGAAACTACACACTTATTACTGGCTCGTTACATGGCTTTGGACATTGGTCTGAAGCATTCAGCAACTTTCTGCTACAACAAGCACAGAACCACAGCTAAAATGTTGGTTGAAAATGCAGATGCCATCAACAAAAAAGGCAAAGGAATAATTATCATACTATCTGCCACTGATGTGGGCAAAGAGTGTGTGTCTGACTTGTCTGTTTTTGCCAAGACAACTGAAGAGGTGCAAACTCTTTTTCACAACTTCATAAGCAACTAATGAGAACTGTATGGATGAATTTTATTTCACATTTAATATTACATGGTAGTAATGTTACCATAAATGAAGGTTTTTTGGACCACAGCAACTGTTGATCAGTAGAAACCAGTTTACTGGATATGTTATCATAACAATTAAGGTCTCTCTTTGATACGAGGACTATTAGCTTTTGTACTTATACAGTAAATAATTGTAGTTTAGGAATATTAGGATTGGATTGGATATTAATCCAAAATTGCCAAAGACTATAATAATTAATTATCAATTATTCCATGAGCATGTGTTGGATATGAGAGGATAGATTTGCCAATGAGGTTGGCTGTTATCATCTCACATCCCACAAGTGCAAAAGGAATAATTTTTTATTAACTACGCCCCCAAAATATAGAAAACAAAAATAAAAATATTAAAAGATAGTGCCTTAAAAAGTTACACTTCCATACTTGTACTCTGAGCATGGTATAAATTTTCTCATGTACCATGATGGCTAAGCCAATGAAAACTCTTGAATTGCATTATCTAATATGATCCAGTGTTTAATAATAAACAATTAGATTAATTGAGCTCAAGATTTTTACGAGGTGATAGTTGATGAGGGCAAAGGCTGAATCAACTTAATATATCACCTCTTAGTATAAATCTACTAACGTTCTATCATGGATGCCGTTCTCTGATTGGCTACGCTACTCACTATCTGTTCTGCTGTAGATAGTGAGTAGTGTGCTAATGCCCGCTAGTTAACAAAGTGACAGCTGCTTCTTGGTGTTTTCAAAGTGCCTGTGAAGAGGATGTAGATAAAGTTTGGAACGACTAGTAGATTTATACCAAAACAATTAGATTATTCGCTCCGCCCTCGTCAACTGTCACTGATAGAAATCTCAAGCTCATAAATAAATCTAATCATTTAATAAATCTAATCGTTTAAGTATCGGTCCATATAAGAAGGATAGCACCACGCGGCAAGGAATGCAAAAAGGTGCTAACTTTTGTGCAATTTTGCTATTGTTGTACCATACTTCTGATTGGCTCAATCAATAAACTCTACCAAAACTTCAGATAGCTGTTTATACATGCGTAACTGATCAACTATCTTCCTTTCAACAAAACCTGTTCTGAGTCTAAATACCACAGTAATCCTACGTGGGGAACATTGGAAAATTGGAAGCTTTTATTGTCTTTGTTTACGACTGTTGTGATTGGTTGAATGTTTTAACACAAAGGAAACTACCTTTCAAAATA